AGGGCCAAGGTCCTTTCCTTGTGGATCTACTCGGTATTGTCCTGCCCCGGGGGGGCTGAGAGTTGCAGCGCTGGACTTCGCGCCTGTTAGTAAGGGCGACCTTCCGAGTGATCTGCTCGCAGTTGCAGCTAGTGTCACCACCAGGCTGATGATCGTATGGATTGCCGAGGCCGGTCACGAGAGCGTTGAGTTACTGCAAGTAGTGGCAATGGCCTTTCCCGTGGTAACTCGGATGCGCAAGGTGTCCCCTCCCCTCCTCGGCAGATTTGACAACGCCAGTGCCGTCCGATGCACCTGTGGTTTGTGAGGTTCGTTGTGGCGAAGAATACGATGTGGATTACGACTCGTAATTTACGAGCCGTCACCGCTCTGGAGTCTTCCCAAGCGGCTCGAGTTTTTACAGTCTTAAAGCTCCCTCAATGGAAGGGTAGTCTTGCCTTGAACGTATGTCTAATATCTACTCGTAGTTTCATTGCCTCGCAGCAGGATCTTGAGCTGCTTTCAATTAGTAGCAGGTCCTACAGTATTGATACCCTGGGAGGAATCGGAGCCTAGGGGTGTTCAATAGTAGTAAGAGAGCCTGCTTGTTGAGAGTAATGTCCACTGCTGGTCGGCCTGATGCGGACCAGGATCAAGGAATGAGAACACCGTGCAAGTCCCTGTGCGTTGTGGTGAAGGATGGCGCTGAAGGAACCTCTTTAGGGTTGGCGACTTTTGATAGCCTTTCCTTAGTGAGTCTGCACCTCCTCAAGCCCCTCGCATCTATTCCTAGGTGGTGGCCTCAACAGCGTTTGTGGAGCCTGCCAGTGGGGGTGGGAGGAACTTGGCCCTGTTGGAAGCGGCAGTCATCCAGGCACGTTGTGGGGGATTGGAATTGGTGCTATGAGTTTACTGCCTTACGGACATGTACGGTCATAGAGACCCGAAATTGGCGGTTGATGATGCCGATCGATTGAGTAGATAATCTTCTGTGATCATCTTAGTGAAATTTTCGCTGGTTGCTGTGCATGGGGTATGGTAGGATATGCATAGCTCGCCCTGACCTTTCGTGGTTGCTGTAGGCTGGTCCGGACGAGCGAGTCTTCGTAAGCGCCTATGATAATGACAGTCAGAGCGTCACGGAAAAGGTGAAACCATATTGATGCTCGCGGGTATTTCAGCTCCCTTGACGTTCTCAGGTCCTCGAGTTGTTAGAGCGCTGTGTTCCAAACGTGAAGGTCTCAGGGACGAAGATGGTCAAGGACTTCTCTATTGAAAGCCTTCTCTCGGAGGATGAGGCCCGGAAGCTACCAGTATGGGTCGCTCAGACAGATCAACGGCACTAACATTGTGGATTGTTCTCAGGTCGACAAGCAAGACCTCGCCTCGCTGGCCATGATGACTTTGGCTGCAGCTCTCAAGCTCGCCTGTGAATCCTCCTTCTACAGGAAATGCTCCTTGAGTCAGCTGAAGTGTGATGCTTTCCTGAGGCTAGATCAGGTGATCTCTTTGCACTGTGGTGTGGATTTGTAGACACGTAATTGTCGTTCGTTATTATGATATTATTTTATCGAATATCGTGGTATTTGATAACGTACCGTAATTAATAACTTTAGTGAATGAAAATAATTTCGGAAAAATTTCATTAAATTTTTCGAATATTTTCTTATTTCCTTTCAGCTATCAGCTATAAGGGAATATATATATGTTAGCATTAGGAAAGGATTAACCAGCACAGCAGAATCCAAACGCACTAGGACGTTGTGACTCCCTTAGGCAGCTCTGACAGCGCTGCATGTACTCCCATCTACCACGAGCGGAGTTGGACAGTCTGGGAAGTCCCTCGTGGGCCTATT